GATGTGTAAGCATCAGAGATCGGCGAGTCAGCCAAAAAAGTGCCTCGCCACCGCCTCGGCATACCGACGAGTTAACCATCGCTGCCTCGCCTCGTCCATGGTCTATTATGAAAATAGCTTTTTTTAGGCAGTTTTTCGACCACCCACAATAATCACTATTTAGTTTAATTCTTTTGATCGAATCAAGTACATTTAAGATATATAAATAAGTACAAAAAACAAAAATACAAGATTAGATACTAATAAATAATAATCATTCATTTTTTTTTAATTGAACGAATAAACAATGCGTTGTTTATCAGTTGTGGATTTAATCGAGTACGTCTAGAGTTGACCATCACAGAATGGTCTGATATCCGTACAAACCCAGTCTATAAGAAGGTTTTTTATTTTCTTACTTTCTTCTTCGTTTAGTTTAATCGATCCTGGGCGATTACAGGTGAAAGAACGAATTTTTTTTGTTTTAAAGGTGATGAAGACGTTGTATCAGAGTGTTTTGAAGATCTTATTGGTGAACTTCCACAAACATGTTTGTTCATTTTCGAGGTACTATTATTATTGTAAGAATATGTAACATAGCAATGTTTACATGAAATAAAATTGTCTAATTTTGTCAACACAACACCGTTATCATCAGTAACAGCTGGAAAACCAAATTGAGACCAGCAACTTGCAGTATGTTTCTTCGTATTATCGACCCCTATTAGATTTCCATCTTTACGCATGAGTAAATTGTAAATCCTTTTACAAGACATTAGAGAAATATTTGATGATGTATGATCAACATTTCGAGACTCTGAACAAGTTTCCTCTGTAATATCGATAATATCACCAGAAGAAGAAGAACAAGAGTTTGTCGAGCACATAATAAGTATCTAGAATAAAATTCTTATCGCAAAACTTTCAATTAACTGGCATAACTAACGTCATCTTTGTTAAATTCACAATAGAAATTGTATAAATGAAATTGTTCGTCTAGGCCGAATAGATAAATAATATACACATATTAGGTAAATATCCATACCCATTTATTACTCTGATTTGTTTAACTTCATTACCAATAGAAATTCTTCAAAAAGTGAACAACAGAAACGGGAGATATCGTTAGTGATTTACTATTTAATCACTAACAAGTATGGGAGAGTTAACTCGGCGCGTCGTGAAAACAACTCGTACTCGTCGCGGTGCGGAAAATACTGCCTCGTCTTGCCTCGCCACGAGGCGAGGCGAGACGAGGCGAGGAAACTCGGCGAGTCTGTGATCTCTGGTAAGCATATAAACAATATCATTTTCTTTTAATTGATAAAAATCATATGTTCCATGTTAGAACACACAGAATAACATAAGTTTTCATCATCTAAATATTCTAGAAAAATTCTGGAAGTGAAGACAGATTCCACGTTGAAATAGCTCTATAGATTAGTCACTAAACTCATTTCTTTCTTATCTAACTCTCGTTTCCTAACCATTTGTTGAACTTTCGCATGAATTTTTTGCGAAGTGTAAGTTGTTTTTCAGTATTTATTGCTTGGTTTTGTTCATTTAGTCCACTTGTTGGTGCACTTTCTTCAAGATCAATAAAAAAATCTGGCTCATTGTTTTGATTGTTGGAATTTCTTCTAATTGATTTGACTTGAAATGCTGTATATGGCATGATAAGAACCTCTTTTTCGTGTCGATACTCAGATATTTCCATTATACTTAATGCAGTACGTCTATTACGTATTTTGTAAGTACAAATTGCGGTAAATTTCTGTTTGTTTACCTCACTGTGTTTAATTGCAAATTTCTTAGCTACAGAGTAATCGAAGGATGTGGATAAAAATGCTTTGTTCATTATATGTGATCTAACTTCGTATTGACCTAAATCGTGCTGTGTGATTTTCATCCCTCGATAACATTCACCAATGTAACTCATTCGATCAAAGGCACAATGCGTAAACAAAATTTGCAAATAACATTTCATTCCACAACGATTAACATTATCATTAGCACTTTTAAAATTCCCACCAATTATTGCCAGTTGTTTATTTAAATGCGAATAAAAATCAGTTTGAGCTGTGTAAGCTGTAATTAAATAAATAGGATCCTTTTTGTCTATTACTTCATCGAAATATTTTTTTATTCGTTCGAGATGTCGTGATTCTTTAAAGTCAATATTAATAAAATCAGTTTGAACTTCATGCACAAGCCAATCCAGATTACGACCTTCCCATGAGTGTTCGATTATCCAGCGCCATTTTCCCGCTTCTCTATGAACATTCTCATCAACTTTCATCCATTCAATTTCATCACCGTGACAAACAAATCTTTCACTTTCATTTTCACGAAGAAAAAGTCGTCTAATTTCAATGCCTTTCGATTCAGATTCCGGCGTATAACCATGGAGATTTCTTATCGAACGAGATGCGCCTCGCTCTAGTAATAATCCAACTATTTCAATATGTCCATAATAAGAAGCAGCATGCAGGGCAGTACTTCCGTTCGGTTCAATGCGGTCTATTTCATCCAGAGTCAACGTACTAACTAATTCTTTTACTTTGTTTATGTCGTTGTTACGACACGAACTGTAAAGTTCGCTCACAGTAGAATTATTTCTTGCCATTGGAATGTGTTAATTGCTTAGAAATATGCGAATTATCTGAGCCAAGTGTTCAAAATGATTTCTTCGGTATAAACACGTGTTTTCGTCTAATAAAACAAACAGTGTTCATTCTATTGTTGTGGATGTGCATGTTTGACAAAAAATTAAAGTCCGATCAAATCTGAACTATAGCATTTGACTCTAAACAATATTTGGTGACTACACTATTCTCTGTTTTACTGTTATCATTCTTTACCTCGATTTTTTCGCTATGTAAACAATGCTTCATAGTAATTGCGAAGATTTCTAAGTATTGATAAGTGCTAATTGTTTTTTAAAGATAACTGTTTTTCTAGCGTGGTAAGCTCAGAATATGATTAAGAAAAACCATTAAACAGACAATCATCTCTCGTTAGGTCTAACAATAAAAAAATCAGAAGCAATTAGCCTTATCGGAACGAAATATGCTGCTACTATTACAATGTGAAAACTAGTTCAAAAGCGAAAACAAATAAGAAATGTCATAGTTGATTCCAGAAAAAAATAATCTATACTTACTATGTCTTATGCTAATTAAAAAATGACTCCTAACTTTTTTTCATTATTAGAGAACAGAGTAGTATCGCCATTCTGCGTATGTTAGAATGAAAATTCTGTAGTCATCACTATATAGTTATTACCAATGAGACGTATTCTGACAATCCAGTCCGATCAGATTCCATAGATATCCAATCGAATTTTAGATGAATTTCTATAAAACCAACAAATTCATATCAGTTGCCAGATCACAGAATAATATTCGCATCCATAGTGTCGAAATATGATCGGATCCTATCGTCAGATTGTGACGGAATCCAACGTTTGGCTCTGACTACCTTCTGTCGTTGAATTGAGGTACTAATTATTATTAAATAGTTTTTCCGTCGGATTCATTTATTTGGGTATTCAAAAAAGTGATGTTGTTTCTAATCTTTATATAGAATTAGAACTGACTTTCTATAAAGCATTGAAGTTCATTTTCAAAAATACTAGAAATATATCATTGAGTTTCGATTTTGTCCGAAAAACATTCTTTTCTTCAGAAAATTAAATTTGAATTCTATTTTTCAATCAATTAGAAATTCCCTGAAAGTTATAACACATTTTACGATACAAAATAAGTTGAAAATGTTTGCAAATAAACAAAGTAGTTCGCTTTCAAGGACAAAATTTATTTAAGATTGAAAATACTATATTAATAAAAAGAAAGAATTCATTTATTTTTTAAACTATTGAACAATTGATAATTGTTTAATAGTCTCATATAAATGCCGTTAGATTAGTTTAAAATCAAGAATACTTACTTCCTTAATGATATTAAAATATGTTATTTGTTTTACGTTTTGTTTGCAATTGGCTTTTTGACGCATTTGTCGATGATGAAATTACTTGGTTTTTTCCAACTTTATTTTGCTTTCTTCACATCAATGAATCATGACATTTTCATACGATACGTCGTTCGCTTCGTAAGCATGCGTTTATCGTTGTGAGTACTCACTTTTTTTTTAATTGGTTCTCATTGATTCTTTTTTTTTCCTTTGCATTACATGTTGCTGCAACAAGAAAACGTGCACCAATGTCCCTACATTAAAGCGTATTCATATTGGACAATGAAATGTTTTGAATTGTAGAAAATGTCAATCAATAGTCTTGGGGTAATAATAATTGGCCTAATTTTCCGCTTACGGCCTAACTGGCCTAAGTGCTTCATTGGCTATTTTTTTGATATACATCTATCGGATTAAAAGTGACTAAAAGCGCCATTAATAACACAAGATGTCATCCTTGTATTATATGAGACACATTACTTCGTGCTAGTATGAAAACGTAATTGTTTTCTTAGCTTTTTACGTAAAATTACTAAATCTATGCCTTAATTTGATAAAAAAAAATATAGCGAAATTTTTAAAAAATAAATTTGATTGAATTAATTAACATTTTCACTGGATACTTTGCAGAGAATTATGCAACCATGCGAAAACGCGTAGTATTATTTGATACGACAAGCATGCTTCAAATTATTTGTATTAAAAATTACCTGCATTTATTTAAAATTAAATTGATGTTTTCTAAATTTAATTCAATTCTTTTGCTCATAAAGGATCGATAGGTATTTGGTTAAGGATATTATGTTGTTTTCTATCCATCTATCTATATATGTATATATACCATTTTATTCAATAAGAAATAATAGTTTAAGAAAAAATGTTTACACAACACGAAGAAAATAAACAAACAATAAGAATGAAATAATATTTGCACTTTCAGCGTATTCACTATGAAACAAACAATGTAACAATTATAATAACACATGTTTCTTGAATATCACCGAAATAAACAATAAAATAATTATTCAAGCATGAAAAAATCAATATCTTTAACGTTTCATTTTTTTTCTTTTATCAGCTTCAAGATCACTGAAATTAAAAATTAAATTAAAGTTTTAATCTACTGAATTTATAATATTTTTACCGTTCAGATGATCGAATATTTTGATCTTTGCTTAATTTCGTTTTCGAACGTGTGTTAATCGATACATGAGATGTTGAATGTGGCGAAATATGAACGTTTTCACTTTGATTAAATTTGAGCACATTCCTAATTATATACAAAAGTTAATAAATTATATACATTTTAATATTCAAAACAAAAGATGTGAATATGTATTTTGTAACAATAGAGAATGATAGAAGAATAGACAAGATTGATAATCGAGACAAGTCATCTTTTGAAGAAACAAGTATCGCTGGCTTTTTTTTATATCAATGAAAATACATCCCTTAAAAAAATGTCTAGAGTTTCCGCACACTTTTTACAAGCAGCTTACCTGTGTTGCTTATAATATTTTTTATCATCTTCAATTTTATCATCATGACTTTTATCATATTTTATTTTATCATCATAACTTTTATCATATTTAATTTTATCATTTTGACTTGTATCACCTTCAATTGTTTCATCACTACCTTTACCAGATTCAATTTTATCATCACTACCTTTACCAGATTCAATTTTATCATCACGACTTTTATCATCTTCATTCTTTTCATTTTCATTTTCATCATTAACAAAAGATGAAACAATAAATTTAGCTCTAAAAAAATATTAATTTGCTGAGAATTAAGAAACAAGCATCTTACAATGTACGTTGAACAATTCGAATTCTTTTATTCGAAATAGCATAAATATTATGTAGCCGTTCATAGCATTTAGGAGCTGATTCAATAAAACCAGTTTGTTCATATGCATGAATAAATGACGAGACGACAACTTTAATTTCGTCATCGATAGGTAATACGATAAATTCTTCTATGATTAGAAACATTTCTCTTTGTGATCCTTTATTTCATCATAACAACATACTTGTTTCATCTTTTTCTTTTATTAGCATAATTGATCTGATCAAGTTTTCATGTTTCTCCAAAGCGTAAATACGATTAGAATTAACTTTGTCAAATAATAACATCGATTGTTCGTTAGAAAGACTTGTAAAAGATGGAATTTCGAAAACAAAATATTATGAATGCAGTTCTCACCTTTAGAAACAAAGTCACTAAGTCGTTGTTGTAATTGTTTATTCGCTGTTGGATAAACTGCTGGTATGTTTACATCAACATATGCTTGTTTCACTTTGGAATACAGTTCATCTAAAAGACATTCATCTGAATAAATCTTTATGAAAAAAGTCTCTTACTTTTATTTTTAATTAATTTTGAGAACTTCACCGGATACATCGTTGATAAATACTAATAAATCTACAATAAGATCAAAGCAGCTATCACATAATAGACGAGTTTTATATCTTTTCAATCAAGTTTCATAGTTTACAAACAAAGAGAAAATATAATAAAAAGAAATCAAATGGCACACAACATAATCAAAAGGTAGAAAACATATTGTTAATGAAAGTCGACATGAGATAAAGAAAAAATATGCAATCAAGCAATAAAAAACATCATAATACAGCTTGAGAAGACTGTACATATTAAAAGCGTACGGCCATCAAAGAGAGAAAGCTGAAATTCTCCTATAGAATAGATCTAGATGTCTAGCGTATATGCTGCAGATATCTGCCTATTCTATTGAAAAAAAACATGAAAGAAAAGAATATTACTTGAAGGAAATAAGAACTTATTACACACTCTTTATATGATGAGAAATGCTGCTGTGTTCAATGAGAAGCAGGTAAAAATATGATGAAAATCCAAAACAGAAACTCATATTACAATCATGTGAAGTGTTTCAGTATCGATTTTGCCTAGGGTATTCGAGCCTTATTAAATATGAGGTCTTAATTACGTCTATCTTGTATGTACACAATAAAGCTTCAGCTATGTGTATCACAAAAAAAACTATCAAAAAAGACTAATGGACAATGAATTTTTACTTATTATGGGTCATCTTTGATCTGCCTCACAAAAAAAACTGTTGAATAATAGCTCAATAATAAAAGTCATTGAACGATGATTGAGAAAATAGATTAAGAATATAGTTAAATGCAGGAAATTGAGACATGAGAATCTACTAAAATAATACGAGAAATATGCAATAATTCGATAGAAATTTACTGGAGAAAATTTACAATACCTATGACGGTTGACGAACTTCAGCTTGATTTGATTGCTGTTGTGAAACAATAAGATTGACTGGTGTAATAAAACGAATCGCTTTTATAACTTTAGGTGTAGTAGTAACATTAGATGTTGATGACGATGGTAAATTTGATATATCTGTTAGTGTACGTGTGACAAATTGTGGATTGTTCGATGGATTCAACGGAAATGAAATAATATCATCTCGACGTGTTTCAACAGCATTTGTGGCATTATTTTGTTTTGAAGAAAAATGTGATGATGTATATTTCTGATTTGATTCTTTATCACATCGACGTGGACATTTACCACCGACTTTTTTAATCTTATCGTCGATTCGTTTTCGTTTTCTTTCATGACCGAGATTAACGTGATTATCACGTTTATCTAATGACATACCTTATAAAGTGAAAAAAATTTTAAAAAATGCTCCCTTAATATTTGAGTTTGAAGGTTACCTAGGAATTGTTTCACAGCAAGTACATGTGAACAATTTAGTAAAGTATTAGGACATGAGCATCGGAAAAGACGTTTTGGATCATTCATGTGAACGGCATGAACTAATAAATGATCAAGAGATCGAACAGTAAATACTTTTGTATCAGCATGATATTGTACCAAATTTTGTTCAAGAAGAAGACTAGCTCGACTAGTATTTGTTAATTTTTCTTGTCGAATATCATTAATATAAGTTTGATTATTAGACAATGGACGATTGATAATTGATTCATTATTGCACATAACTTCAATAGAATTGTTATTGTCAGAATCATCCTTCATATCATTCAAGTTGATAATGCCAGCTTGATTTTGTGTACTACCAAATGCTGGATTATCATCATTTGCAGGTGTTGGTTGCTTAAGCATAGCAGACTTTATTTTTGCCACAACCTCATCAGGTGAAAATCCAGAAACAAGAGTTAAATGTGCAACATCAGTTTTTGCATCATTGTATGCTGCTTGTAAATGATAACCACATATAATAAACAAAAACCAACAGAAGACACGTTCTAAAAAAAACGCTAAAACAGACCGACAGCTCGTATACATACCATACGAACAAAGACTACGTCTAAATTCATTCACATAAAATTCCAAAACAAAAAAAAACATCTGCACTAATGCATATAATGATAATTCTTTCCAAGAAAGCCAACGTTTAAACACAGCATTTAAACTTTCAATTGGGTTGTTCTTTACTCCAGAAACTTCATCAAATAACTGAAACATTCGACCTGACCATCCACCTTTAAAAAACAAAGAAAAATACGTATAGCAACAATGGATTCAAATGAATAAACTATTTCTTTTTCTCATTTGACAAGTCGATTTATCCTCTGGAACATATTTTGTTGATCAAATTATTGACTAGTTTTTTTTCCTCCTTTGACAAGTCGACTTATCCTTTGGTGACAGGAGGATAAGCCGATTTGTGGAATGAGTGACGACATCAAGTGATAAGCTCAATCTGTAAATAGTATCGTCGCCATGAAATACTCAATTGATCGAAATGAAACCTGACAACTACGAAGAACAAAGATGACAAATTTTCTTTTACTCACCTAACTCATTAATAATTGGTAAAGTATTTTTTTCAAAATATTCAACAAATCGTTTTGGCCAATGTAAAGATATATTTTCATACTGTACACGAAATTCATTGTAAGATGATGCACGTAAAAGAGTTTTAATTGCATCGATAACACCATCAATAATTTCCTTTCTGTTCATCTGAGCATCAGCATCAGCAACAACATTCTTTTGTTGTTCAATGAAAAAATACTTTTTAGCAGCAGCTTTTATATCATTCATAGCATGATTCCAACAACGCAACTGTAACATTCTTGGATAATATTTTCGAAAAGCATTTTTAAGTGCATCTTCACCATCAGTTACAAGAATACAATTTTTATGAAGATTTGGTAATTCATTGTTCAGGATTTGTACAAAACGTTCATGTCCTGATTGAAGTTTTCTGTCATGCATAAGAATTGCAAGTGGAAGTATTGGTCGTTCGGAAAAGATTACATTTCGAAATCCAAGTATCTAAAAATAAGTAGTATATTGAAATCTTTTTTTAGAAGATGTAGAAGTTCTTACAGAAACATAAATTTCACCAAGAAAAAATGTTGTTTCATAGTATAAAGGTACTATTTCTTTTGTTATTCTAAGAAGATTTAGAAGCTGACTTTTCATTTGATCATGCATCAATATAATTAATGTTTCCGGTTGTAATTGAAGTAATTTATAAAATTCATTCAGCTCGTATGACAGAAGAATTACATTACTAAGTTCATCATGACTAATTTTTTGATTGTTCAAGTATTTTTGACGTCTATAATTACATTGTGATGCATTACGTGGACTATCAATACCACCATTTGCGGCAACTAATGTTTTATAAGCAGCAGCACCGGACATTTTTGAAACAAGTTGATCGATTTGCTGAATTGTTGATTGTGGTGTATGATGTAAAACATGTGCGTTCATTAATTTACAATTTCCATGTGGATGTTTTGTTGCAATATCAAGATTTCCTAAACAAATATATATATATATTATAACAAAATAGAAATCAAGTAAATTTGTTTAAATACTCTTCACTTTTTAATATTAAGTATTTTCATGAGACAATCATCTAATTTTCGTAACTCATCCCTCGATTAGTCTTGCATTTACTGCTTGTAGATTTATACTTCCCGTTTATTCAAACTAACGACGTGAAATATTAAACTGAGATTATTTTTTGGAATATATGTGTTGTTGGCAAAAATGACATTCAGACAAATTTAAAATTTGTCTAGGCAAAATTGATATAATAATTCTGTCTAGGTGAAATTAGAATTACAAGTTTGACTAGGCATTTTTTGGGAAGAATTGGAATTTCAATTTTGCCTAGGCAAAATAAGCATATGACTGACGATAAATTCACATAATCAAAACAATTAAAACTAAGTAGAAGGTTTTTTTATTCAACAATATTCCTTCATTAAACTAAACAATTTTTAAGACAACATTTTAATCTATTCATCCATATTTGCGCAATCGCCTCGGTCTGAATGACATGTCGTCGAAAAGATAGCTCCCATTTTTTTACACGAACATTGTTTTGTAGCGCACTTGCGTTTACAATCGCAAGTTCTACCAGCCATTAATGCATGTACATAGATTTTACATATTTCAATAAATGTAATATCCTTTAAACCATTAATAACGATTTGTTTTAATTATTTTGGACAAGCCATTTTTCAATCAATAGGATGTTCAAGTGGATATGTATTTTTTAATTTACTATCTTGACAATGTCATTCAAAATTAGATGATTATATAAATATCAATGGATAGATTACAATATTATGTCTTAAAAATTGTTTAGTGTAATGAAGTAATACTGTTGAATAAAAAAACTTCTATTCAGTTTTAATTGTTTTGATCGTATGAATTTATCTTTAGTCACATTCTAATTTTGCTTAATCAAAATTGAAATTCCAATTTTGCCCAAGCAATATCTAGCCAAACTTAAAATTCTAATTTCACTTAGGCAAAATTAGATTTATAATTTTCCCTAGGCAATTTTTAAATTTGCCTGAATTTCAATTTTTCCTGCAACATGTGCATGACTAAGTACGAGAGAAAATATTAAGTATATTCTTGAACATTAATATCATAGCTTTTGTCGAAACTATATACACCAAATACAATTATGGATTGGAACAGCTGCGATAATTTAGACGAAAAAGAGCTTATTAATTAAAGAACTATTGATATTCAGATACAACCAAAGCTAGCAGAACAAATAAGAACTTACACACTGTCTCTCTAAAGCATATTTTCTCTCATACATTTATAGAATTAATTATGCTAACCAGCCCTGTAGACTTAATCTTTCAATGACAAACTTTGATCGGAGTGAGGTTAATTTACCATGATAAGAAACAAGAACATCAAAATCATTCGTTATTGAAATATAGATATGCTTCACACATCGACCATCTTTTTTCTTTTCAGAATTAATACAATAATAATAAATCTTCATAAATTTAGGATTATTCTTCGGGTACTGTATTGAACGTGTATTCTTCCACGAATAATGGTCATATTTGTAAGCATCTAAATATACAAAACATATGTTTACTATTTGAATGAGAATATTAAAGCTCACCTTTAATATTTGATGCAAGTGCAAGACGATAAACTACATTTACTTCAATTTTATCGGGTAATTTTTCGAGTTTTTCACCATGTAGTAATGCAAAATTAAGATCTTCTATACTTATTTTAACATTTGATTTGTCTGTCGCTAAATCAGAAGAAATTTTTAAATAATAACATTTTAGCTTAAATCTTACTTGAACGAAATGCAACAGCATCAGTCATAATTGTTGGATATAAAACAAAATATGATATACGAAAACTCTGACAATTGTCAATTGACTCTTACATCTAAAAATTTTAGACGTTTAAAAAACATTTTAGAACCATATCAGTAATATTCTTTAAATAAGATCAAGTTGTAAATAAAATTATTCAAAGTTTATTTAAAATTTTATATTTTTATTTTTTCGTGATATTCATGATAGGAACCGTAACATACTACTCAAAGCTTTAATATCTCTACTTGTTATATGTTAGTCATTTATGGGTAAATTATGGAACATCATTGATAGGTTTACTGAATATTTCGTGACAACCAATCGACGTAGTTACATATATATCACTTTTTGGATGGGTGAATATCTGATCTCTTTATTGAAGAAAACAGCAAGTATATATACATAGGACAGAAACAATAGATGGACTAGAAAAGAAGTCGAGAAGCTTCGTCCGTCTGTTTAGAAAATGAACAATAGAAAGAATTAAGACCAGACTTGCCACCTTTTCTGCTTTTAGCAGAAAAATTCTGCTTTTTTTCTGTCATTTCTGCTTTTTTAATCTTTTTCTGCTTTTTCTGAGTTTTTGTCTATTATATTTTTAACCAAAATTTTTGATATTATAATATATAATTTTTTTTCAGAAATGTCAAGGAAAATGTTTGTTAATATATGATGATGTTTTTATCTTTTCCTTATTCTATTATAAGCATAATTCTTGTTTTTTCATTGTGTTCCGATAATCGCACTGATCCGCCCTACCTCTCTTTATCGATCATTATTTCTTTATCATATTCTACCTCCCTTTCATTCGTCAGCACTCATATCTCTCCTTTTTGTGCCCTTGTATATAATGATGTCATCTCACTGTATAGCCATTCCCAGACTAGTCCATTCTTTTGTCAAAAGTGTACTATTCTTTTGTTAAAGGTATATATTTCTCTCTCTTGTGACCGATATATATAAAGAATGAATATTGATTAAATAAAGTAGAGTGGAAAATAACATAACACAATATACGTTTGTTGTTACACGCTGGTTTTGAAAAACTGCCAATCTATATTCTTCGTTTTCTGGTACGTTCTTTACCTATATATTTTTTCTAATATATTTTTCTGTTGGTCATCTACAATTCGTAAAGCCATTATCTACTACACTCTTCGAATGTTTATTTAGTGAAATTAATATTATTAGCTTTACGAAGCAGAAAAAATGAATGAAGATGATTATGATATTATTATTGATGAAGAAGAAGATCCTGATGTATTAGTACCAGCTGAAGCATTACGAATGCCACCAGAGGATAAATCAATAAAAAAAATTGAAAAAAGGTGTTTTTAACAAAGAATGGTTAAATTTGATTGAATATCAACCATTTTTAAAAGAATATAAACCTGATCCATCTCAAGCCACATGCATCGTTTGTAATCAGCAATTTTCACTGTATTATCGTGGTAAAAGTGATATCGATAACCACATGAAAACGAAAAAGCACCAAAATAATATGAAATCTTTTGATGTTAATCGACAATTAATAACAAAAACAATAAAGCCATCAAAAGAAAAAGATGAAGTTGCAGCTGCTGAAGGTGTTTTGGTTTATCATGGAGTTAAACATGGACATTCATATTTAGCACAGCAATGCACGACCAATGTTTGTAAAGCAATATTTTCGTCCTCATCAATAGCAAATAATTTGTCATCTGCTCGAACTAAATCAACATGTATTGCTCTAAATGTATTAGCGCCATGTTTTACATATACTTTACTTGATGATTTAAAACAATCATATTATTATTCTTTGATGTATGATGCTAGTAACAAAGGAAATATGAAAGTATATCCGTTTTGTGTTCAATTTTTATCTACAACAGGTGTAAAAAAAAGGTATATTTTTCAGCTAACTTAATTTATTCTTCATTTACATCTTTTTACTCTTTCAGGAATTATAGATTTAATAGATGATGCTGAAGAAACAGCACTTAAAATTTTTTCAAATGCACGTAAATTAATTATAGATAATGATTTGGATATTAATGGATTATCAGCACTCGGTGCTGATAATACGAATGTCAACGTTGGTGAAAATCATTCTGTTTTTTCTTTATTTAATGATGAATTTCCTGATCTCATCAAAGGTAAAATAAACGTAGTTAAAAGAATATGAGTTTTTGTTATTTTTCATCTTGGTTTTTCAAAATTTTGCAAGATTAATCATTAGCATCTGCGTAGACGTGACACGGAGTATAGTTCAAACTGAGTTCTAAAGAAATAACTCAATACTACAGAGATCCTATATTTTTTTTTCAAAAAGATGAACACCTTTTTTTTTTTGAAAAGAGCGTCACATTTATTTTCACGTTTTATACCTATAGGAAATTGCTATTGTCATATACTTCACAATTCTGTTAAACATGCTCATTGTCTATTACCTATTGATGTCGAACAAATATTACTTACGATATATGCATATTTTTCTCGGTCTGCAAAACGTATTAATGAATTGAAGAAATACTATGAGTTCTACGAACAAGATTTCAAGGTAAAAATATTTTTCAATTATTGATTTTTCTCATTTACAAGTCTAATTTATAATATTCTGTTTTCTCTCATTGTAGGTGATCTTGAAGCATATTAAAATCAGATGGTTAAGCTTATACTTTTCCATAGAGCGTTTAGTACACGTATGGTTACCTATTAAAAAATATTTTCTTGAACAGCATGATAATTGTCCATTGGAATTAAAAAAGTTCTTCGAACTTGATGAAGCTACATGTATACTGAGTTTTTTGCAACACGTTTTGTTCGAACTTCATAAAAAAAATCTTGAATTACAACGTAATTACACAACAGCTGTTGATTTATTCAGAATCATCACATCCATTAAAACTAAATTACAAGAACGAATTGATTCAGAATTTTTTGGTGCTGCATGTCGATATAAATTAATGCGTTTACCAATTGATACACAAAATAGATTAAAATCATCATTTATTAAATTTTTGAGTGCAATTATTGCTTATATTGATTCTTATTTTGATAAAAATATTACTTTTTATCAAACAATTAGCTATTTTGGTCAAGAAAATATCGAAGGTTTAACATGGCATCAGGTTATTCAATGCGTTGAGATGATAAAATTAAAAAGTTTAGATGAAGATCGATTGTTCGATGAATTTACAAATGTAAAATCTGTATTTAAAACACTTTTAGATCAACCTGTTTCATTATTTGACCAAGTTCAAGCTTTCATAAGAAAACAAAACGATATATCAAAAATAAATAATTGTGTTGACGAAAAAGAAGATGATGATGATGATCACTTAACAACGAACAAAATAGTTAGATCTGATCAGTTATGGATGTTTTTATTTTCAATTACTCAATCGCCAAATTTTAAAAAACTCATATGTTTTTTGTATTCATTACCATGTAGTAATGCTTTCGTGGAATCTGTATTCTCACAAATGAAACATTTGTTAAATGACAGAAGAAAACGTATGACAAATGAATTGGTTTCAGCTGAATTAAAAATACGTTTCAACTCGACCTTATCATGTACTGAGATGTATAAATATATTTTATGCAATCAAGATTTGTTAAAAGCCATTAAGTCAGATGAAAAATACACATTCAAAAAAAAACGTATTCAATAATTCTATTTTTGCATTTAAGTAGTTTTTTCTCTTGATTTTGTACAATAAAGAATGGAAATTGTAATGAGCTATTCTCATTACTATATGAAGTCAAAGCCTAAAAGATTATTTGGTACAAGAAACATACTTTCTGCTTTTTTTCTGCTTTTTGACGAAGAAAAATTCTGCCATTTTCTGCTTTTTATAGGTTATTTTCTGCTTTTCCATCATCAAAAGGTGGCAAGTCTGATTAAGACAATGGTTCTTGTTACTCAACAAGGACGTCAGTTAGGAAAAGTGAGTAACGCGAAAAAAAGCATACGTACAACAGATGAATAGAAAAAGAAAATAACAACAACATATGTATAATAGTTGGACTGAAGAGGGCAGAAGTGATGTACTATGTAACAGACGTCGTAGGCTGAAAATTAGGCCAATTATTATTACCCATAGTCTTGCTATTTTAGTCTGCCGACACATGCGAATGAATCATTGAATGAATGTTGAATTATATGTCCACTAATGCACTTTGTGATGAGACTGGTTTTTATAAACTGAAATTTTCCACAAAAATAGTACATCATAAATGAGTTTTTTCTGTGAAATAAAATCTTCTTAACATACAAAAATCAACGAGTACAAGCAATGACCTCTATAGACGCTTAGTCTGATTGAATAATGGAGGGTGGGAATGATGCGAATGAAGATAGAAATAAAATAGCAGGCATTATAATCTATTGTTAGTTTGTGAATAGTATTTGTGTCTTTATCTTATTTTCATCAAACCATCGATTTTATACGTTATTTTCGATCCAATAATCGTTATTGTATTATGCCCACCAACACCAGACAATGCGTGAGATGCAAAAAAAGAGTTGTTGTTTCTAAAAAAGATTATATGACAATCGCTTCAAGTGATAGCGAAAATAAACTTCGTATGGGTTATTGGTCTTATTTTCAAGTTGATGTACCTAATCAGTCTTTTATTAATAATTATGTACACAAACAATGTTATTAT